ACATTTAAACGATTTCACATTTCTTAATGATTCTGACAGCTGAATGATCTTTCATTCGGGGGGTGCCCGAAAACCGAAAATGTGTTTTTCGTATTCTCCGTTCGCGCTTGTCAGCCCCAATTTGAAATTCAAAATTCGGCCGAATTTGTGCCTCTCAAGTGGCGTCGGTCTTTAGTTAATGTCAGTCAGATCGCCCAGATGTTGCCCAAGTTCTCCTCGGGTTGCTTTTCTGTGGGATTAATTAGGTATGGGCTGCGTACACTCTCGCAACAAAGACTTCATTAAATGGGGCAACCTGATCGGGCTTGTCGAAATTCTCTGGGCTGTGGTGCTTTTAATTTTAATTCCTCTGCTAATACATCATCGTAAGTCAACAAAGGAGGTCCACGAAGGTGGTGCATCGGCTCAGTGGTTCGGTGGTGCGGTCGTGCGTGTGTGTGATAAGTCCTGGAAAGCGCCGAACTACACGTTCTAATTTTCACAACAGTTGGTAGTGTACACCACCCCCAGGACTTGCCCTATTTGCGCCTGTATTTCCTCATATGCCAATTACACTTTGGAAAAATATTCAGAAAATTAAATGGAAATATTTTAAAAGTATTTCATTTTATACCTTGAAAATTATAGCATAAAACTAGATTAGAGACTTCAGTATCAAATTAAATCCAGTGATTTAAGGCGGCTCTTAAAAAAAGTCTAAAAGTATGCAATAATATTTATTTTATATTAAGATTTCAATTTGTGTACCCCTATCTATTAATTTAAATTAATACTAAATAAACAAAAAGTTTTTTATTCAAATCAAATACCTGCTTGCTCTGCTCATAACTTTTTAGTGAATGGTCCGATCAGAAAAATGTCTACTTCACCATAATAGGTATTGATAAAAACAACCAAATTGCATTTTAAATTTTTTTTAATCTTGAAAGATGAATTTTATATAAATATTTTTTGAGTGTAAACTGGTGCGAAAATCAAGCCGAGGCCAAATGTTGCCGAATACAGATTCCAAAATCCCGAATCCGCGGCTATTCCTTGGTGGTGTTGTTTTTGTGTTGTCCTCGTTGGTGGTGGCAACGTCAAGGTGAAAGCCGCTTAAGGTGGTTGGGGGTGGGGTTGTAGACCGTAGACCATTGTTAGGACTCAACATGTGCGCTATTGGATTAAGTGGCGAACGACGGCGATTCAAGGACAATCAATGGCACAGCACGAGAGTCCTGGGTGTCCTGTTCCTGTGCCTCGTCACCTTCTGTCCAAATCGAAGCTAGACCGCGTAACAGAAATCCATTAAGGTGACCGTTTTATTTGCTACATTAGTGAGTGGCAAGGTCGGGGGTGATTTTGACTTAAATGCCTGCATTTAGCCATCTGCCTGCATTTTCGAAAGTACAAAAGTGTTAATTGAGACTTCTTTTTTATTGGTTTCGAAATGGGTGAAAATGGGCATTCAGGCGGAATGGTCAGACAGATATATGCAAATTTCCAAACCCAAAAAGAATATAGATTACAGGATTCAGAAAGCTGCTGCTACTTGAGGCAGACAGCGCAGCAAACGCCCACGTGCCGTAGAAATGCCAGGAATGTCGCTTCCGGAATTTCCAATCAATTTTAATTGGCACCCCATCGATGGATGGCAGCGAAAAGAAATCCAAAATATTTGTGCATAATTTTAATTAGAGCATTTCTCCCTATTTGCGCAATTTATCTTGTATTTCGAAAATACTTTTACTTAGAACAAACCGGTGGCAGACGTTCAATGGGTGTCAAAGTCGAGGCAATAAATTATTTTAAACGAGCATGTCGCCTTTCTAGTCTTCCTAGTCTCAGTCTCAAATGTAAATCACACACATGTTCCATGTTGGGAATTCCAAATATTTTTATGGCTATGTAGGTATCGTCGTAGGGATTTATGTGCAATCAGGGGGATCTCGGAGATAAATCTCCTGCCCACTCAAGCGGCCAGCCAATCAAAGTTGCAGTGGGACTCTGACTCCGACTCTCTGTTGACTCCCGGAAAACTCATTTAAGTTTTCCTCGGCCAGTGAAGATAGGTGAAAAGGATAAGGTCGACTCCAAGGGATTGGCCAACTTTGGTCCGGCTTAATTGCCCAGTGTCCTTGCAGCGAAAAGGGAGGCTTAATTGCCTCAGACTCAGTCTCTGGTTTTGAATCAGATCCAGCTTCTGATTCCGCCCTTTGACTCCGAGTCTCCAACTCCCTGGCTTAATTGCCATTTAGTCCTTTTTAATGGACTCCTCGGGTCCTTGTTCATTAATGACCACCACGTCTAGATTTCCGCTCACCTCCTTTCGCAACTTTTGTCAACTCAAGTCCTGTCGATACCAGATAGACTTGCAAATGCTAGCATTTTAATGGCAGCATTTTTGACTTATCTGTATATCTTCGCATCCTGCATGTCCTTTGTGTCCTGCCAGTCCTGCCAGTCCTGTGTGTGCCCCTTTGGGGCATCCTCAGCTCGTTTGTATTGCATAAATTTGCCCAAATTGTTTTGCTGCCCGGCGATAAGACGCCGTCGATGGCATGACAATTAGCCCGAAACTACATTTAAAATATTACTTGTGGTCGGACCCCCGTTTTCCGCTTTAATTGTTTCTTGGGATCGTGACTGTTGAATGTGCAAACACAATCTGATTGCTGATATCCCAAATATTGACTATTGGCCGGGAATTTAAAATGCTATTGGGGTTATATTTAAGTAAAGATGGAAGTTGGTATAGTTCTAACTTCAATTATGGAAACTAAAGTTGCCCCATATGGTATATCCTTTTAAAAGGGAATAAACTGCAGGATAAAAGGTCTGGATAGATTTCTTGTATTTTTGGTCCTACTTCTCCTTAAAGTTCCAACCATTTTTTCTCCACTTATCACTTTGGCTCATTTCTACCTGCCACTCGACGCAACTTCTCCTCCTGGTGCACTTATATTTAATGAAAAGAAGCCAGCATTATTATTAAATTATACCCAGGGAAGAATCCCTCCTCATCCCGCTTCGATTTCATTTGAGCACATGACATAAACATAAACTTTGAGCCTTTGGGTGAACGAGTCCTGCGGGCGTTCCTCCAGTGTGTATATATAGTTATCCTGATCCTGGCCGGCGGCTAACAACAACAACAACAATAATAATAACGGCAACAAACACCTTTAATATTTTCATTATGAAGTCATTCGGCGCGATTATTAACGCGTGACCCCCAAGGCGATGCACAGCATCCAGAACGAACGGTCAAAACGCGGACGAAAGTTCAGGTCCACCGTAATGAACAACAGCAAAAAAGATGCTTGGGAACAGCTTTTAATGCACAGTGGGAAATTTTGCATTTTTCTTGATTTTAATTATAGCTATACTGATAAAAAAGAAGTAAATCCATTTATGTCGTATTAAATTTATTATTTTGGCTACAATTTTCATACATTGCGGCTTTTTATTAATTTTAAATAATTTAATATTAATTTTAACAATTTTACTTAGTTGATTTAAGGATTTGAAGCTAGGACTTTAAGATGAAAAAGTTTATAAAAATATATCAAAACTCTGCTTTAGTATTAATTTTGAAAATTTTAATTAATTATGCAGGTATATATATATTTACTATTATATTTTCAAATATGTTAAACACGATGTTATTTTTTTTTAAATTAAAAATAAGTTTCAAATTATACCAGAATTGTGAGTTATTTCTCACTAGCATTTACATTTTTCTCTCAGTGCACACTAACGCTAAGGTAAATTACAATTTTTTGTTTATAAGTGGCAGCCGCTGGGCAAGTGCAGCTGTACCTAATATTCATAATAATTGCGCCATGGGCGTCGACAGCGTCGTCAACTTTTCCAGACGTCCCCATTTTCCGGCCCTCTTCCATTTTTCCCCGCCCCACCAACAACAATTGCTTATAAAGTGCGTGTGACACATTAACGGGAAAAGTCCGGCGCGAAAAGCGGGAAAGCCTTGGCAGCCAGGGGAAAAAAGGCAAATAAAACTCGCGGCCAGTGGGCGAACTTCAAAAGAAATAAAGAAAAGGCAAAATAAAAGAAAAGTCCTTTAATGCCGTGAATTTTCCGCGGGATTTCTATAAAGTGCAGCGGGTTTGGGGGGTCGTCGGGAAAATTTAGACGGGGGGTCACTGCGGTTTCTGCCGCGCAAATTGAAAAAAATGTTCGTGCGTAAATTGGCTTTTCTTTGGGGAGGATGCTCTCCATATTGGGCAGAAATTTTTAAATGGAAACAGGCGTGGCCAGGTCACCTCACATCCGCATCTTTTCTTTTTCCACTTTTTTAAATTGAATTTCATTTCGAGAGCTCCTGAGAAGGCCGAAAAGCGGCAAGTGGCAGGGAAAAGCTAGGAAAACCCGGCAGCAAATTAAAAAGAAATTAAGCCAATTTGCCTTTACAAGCCCAGGATGTGCGGCTCAATTTCAGGCCGCCGCGACTTGTTGTGGCTCGTAAATCTTGGCCCATAAATACCAAGGGCCTTCTGCTTCCGCTTCTCGCCTCACTTGCCACTTACCAAACGTCTTCATTTCGGCGTAAAATTCTTTAATCTCATTCAATTCAATTAGTTCGAGTTGACTAGTTAATGCCGCCGCGCCAAGTGTCCGCGAATGTCCTTAGTGTCCTTTTTGTCGGAGGTGAGTTATCTGTATCTTCCTGCCCCCGACTTTATCACCGAGCATTAACTTTTGCAATTTATGGGTACTCTAAACTGGAGTGGCCAAGGGCAGCCACGGGCTTATGGTTATCGTGGGCTGATCAGCCGCCAATTAGGTAAATAACCTTTCCTGGTTGGCCACTCATAAATAAAACAAAATTAGGCATAGTGATTTGGGTAAGTGCTAAAAATTTAAAGCTGATTTTCGTTATTTTACAGCGACAAAAAGAAGAATATGCAAGATGATCGTGTGACCGCAGGTATGCCCTGTGACTTAGTAGTTTAGTATTTTTATTGTATTGTATAGAAATTCATAATCAAAATACTTGGTTTCTTTAAATTATAATTTATTTGTATGCCCAATGAAAGCGTAAGTTTTGGCTTTTACAACAATAAGATTAATTTTGAATACAATATTAAATGCAAGGGCTTGCGATTACAGTCCAAAATTTTGAAAGGCAAAACAGCACGACCAAACAATCACTGGTTACAAATTTAATAAAAATATAAAGTGCCTAGTGAAAAGTTTATTGAAAGAACTCGCGCCATTCTGAGATCCTAGCCTGCCATCTCAGAATGGTTGAGTTTTAAAAGTGGACTGTGCAATTTAGTCGCCGCGTACGCCAGGATCCGGATCCCCGGGGGCAGGTCCTCCGAAAGTATTTGAAGCACCCAAGGCCGTGTTTAGGGCACTCACATCGGCATCTTCCAAGTCCTGGCGTGGTGAGGAAACCGGAGTGGAATTATCATCGCGGGGCTTGGCCTTTCCAAAAATCAGAGCAGCCTGTTTTGTTTCAGCCAGTGAGTTTATGGGCGCAGTCACTGTCCTTGGTTTTAGCACCAATTTGGGTCGATCATCATCGTCGAGTACCCCGAATTGATTGTTCGAGGAGGGACCGATGGCCGATGATCCTGTTTCCGGGACTCCTGCTTCAGGACTCTTGTTTTCCCTGCCAAAGTTTCCACTTCCATTGGTGTTGCCATTGTAGCTTCCGGAGTTCCCAGCATTATTTGGATTGTAGTGACCACGGCGGTCGCGGTTGCGATTCTGCACAAAATTCGTATAGTTGCCGTTTCCATTTAGATTACCATTCCCAAAGCCGCCTCCTCCATTTCCGTTGAAGGTCCTTTGAGGATTGCCACTTCTTACAACACCACCTCCTCCGCCGCCGCCTGTGCTGTTGTTGAAAGTGCTGGAAATTTATTAAAGATCAGACATTTATCATTATTATTATATAAATATATTTTCTTAAATTTTAAATCATAAAGAACTCGCGATTTTGTTACTTAAGCTAAAAAAAATTTACATGGCACTCATCGTTATTGAAACTAAATATTTCTGTTAACTTAAAAACGTACAATCAGTATTACAAATTATAGTTATTTATAGTTAGTTTAATTGCAAATCATAAAGAATTCGCGTTTATGTTACATACGCTAAAGAAGCTTCTTTCTAAATTATTATAAAAAATATTTTACTATCTATAAATGTTTGTAGTGCTTTTAAATTATATACATTTATTTTGAAATTCATGTAAAGGCCTAGGTGAGGATGATGATACTACCCACCGATTGAAGTTAAAGTTCCGGTTGTGCTGGAATCCTCCATTGCTGGACGACTGCTGGCCCTCGCGGTCATCGAAATTGGGACGTGGAGCTCCTCCCTGATAACGATTGCCATTTCCATTACCGTTGCCATTACCATTTCCACCACCGCGATCACCTGCACCACCACGATTGTTGTTATAACCACCGCGAGTGGTGCGATTGTAGTTCATGGACATTGTGCTCTGGGTGGGGCTACTGTTGGACATTTGGTGGTTGCTGCTGCTCCGCGTTTCCCTCCTCCGATACTGATGGGATCCCACGCTGTCGTCCCGCCGATAGTTGCGTCTTTGGTAGTAGGGATTTCCATTGCCGTTACCATTCCCGTTACCACCTCCTCTTCCACCACCACCTCCTCTTTCTTGACCTTGGGAGCCACCTGGTCCTCCGGCACCACCCATGCTGCTAGAACCCGGTGCCTGTCGACGATGATCAGCTATATCGATGCGCAGAGGCGCTGAAAAATTATCCAACTTGATGCGTCCATTGCAGGATAAAGCTCTCTTCAGTTGAGCCAATGTCTCAAACTCCACATAGCCATAGCCCTTAAATTCGTCCGTCTCTCGATCCTTGATTAGCCGCACATTCTTCACCTCAAAGTCCGAGAAGATCTTCATCACATCGCCCTGAACGAGACCCTTGGGCAGATTGCCCACATAGGCGATGAAAGGAGGTTCCGTGGGCACTTGACGCTGACGATCGCGATCTCTGTTGTCACGATTGCGAAAGTCACGAAAATTGCCACGACTATCGCGGATATTGCGATTGTCACGATTATCCCGATTGTTGTCTCGACTGCCGCCGCCACCATCTCGATTAAAGTCCCGATTATCGCGATTGTTATTGCCAGTATTATTGCTGTTGCTAGTATTGTTATTATCACGGTTGAACTCGCGGTCCCGCTGGTTGGATCGATTGGCCATGGTCTTCGAGCCCTTATCACGAACCTTCAAAAATATATGCACCTACACACTAGACCAGTTTGCACCTCAAACCTCACACCAAGGACACACGGATCACCAAACGCTGTACAAAAAGTCCGGAGCTTGATTTCCCAGACGCTGTTGATAAGTCTACGCGAGACGAGGGACTGGGCTCGGAGCTCGGGAGCGTTAGCTATTTTCTGACAGCCCAGTGACACTAGTTTCAATTTCACTCGATTGGATTTAATTATATGATCTTTCAGTAATTCAAATACATTTATTTTTCCAAAAGATTTTATTTAATTTATTCACTAAACAATTATTTAATATTTTAAAGTACCTTATTAGTTAATTATAAATATAAACTCGAAATCTTTACGAGTTAAAACTAAAGAAAGCCGAAAAGCATGCACTGGTAAAAAAAACGCATAGTAAAATCAAATATTTTTTTAGTTGATTTCATTTACTACTTTTCATAGTTAAATCAAATAAATAAATCATTGATTTTAATAAAAAGCATATTTAAACCTTCATTTAAATATAAAAATAATAAAATCGAAGGGAATTATATTTGAAATGATATTACTGATGTTGAAAACCAAAGTCGCAATAGTAGTTTTTAGTATTGTAAATAGTAAGTTATATACATAGCTTAATCAATGTTTTTTCTGATCCGGTTAAATATTTTCGCAATTTATTTTGAATAAAAAGTTTATTTGACACAATTATTTTGAAAGTCAAGATTCAAATAATATTAAATTAAATTTCCATAAAATGTATGAGTGAAAAGTAGCATTTTTAGTTTTAAAAAGTTATATGTGTTATGGATCGTGTTAACTTTACATTTAAGTTGAACTTATCCTCTCGCGCGTAACATGGTGCGATGGATCAATGGGTAAGGCATCTACCTCTGACGCGAGAGGACCCCGGTTCGAAACCGTCTGAGGCAGAGTAAGTAAAAAGTTTTTAAGAAGCGTATTTAACATTTCCTTAACATTTATAAGAACAATATTGTATTAAAAAAGTTGTAAGAATTACTAATCACAAAAAAAAAAAAAAATAAGTTGTGGTGTCAGCGGGACTTGAACCTGGTACCCCCGAGCACAAAATAGTATCAGAACCTAGCCCTTGACCCCTGAGCCATGCCCATATTATTTTCTATCGAGGCAGAATGCTCTTTTAAGTTCACAGTAATATTTTTGATTGTAATGACAATAAATAACTGCATTTCAAAATTAAAGTAAATACTTTAGGCGCTCACTCGAAAAAAAAAACAAATTTGTAAATTATTATTACAAGATTCTGGATAAAAAAATAGTCAAATCAAATACAAAAATCTTTGAATTTACTATAAAAATATTTAAAACATTATTAACTATGCGCCATATACGATTTTACTATTTTCATGTTAGGATCTATTTCGCTGGGAAAAATAATTGAAACAATGGTAAAATAGTGACATTTACCATTTTTTTTTTACCAGTGTGTATAAACTTCCAAGTTTAAGTTTTGTTATACCTTTGTGGAATATTTATTAAATAGGAATTGATATTTAATAAATTGTAGGTACTTATTCAATATTTTCTCGCTTTAAAAATAAATTCTAATACTTTAATGTAATTAATTTCCTATATAAACAGTTTGTTTATTTCTTTGTCTCCATACAATTTGTTTAAAGCCAAGCAGATTTTAATGTGCAAAATGGAAGGGGTCTCTTTGCCTGCTGCAAACTGAGCTCTGCGTTAAGGTAAACCATAAATGATTAATTACGGCGCCAGGCTCCAGACCCATTCCCCTTATAATATTTCGCAAAACATGTGTAAGCAGCGGCTCCATCTTCTCCGCCAGTTTGTGTTTGTTTTACGGATAACGCCAACAAAAGCAGCAACAGCCAGTACATGAAAAAGTCAACAGTAAATAGTGCAGCCAGGCAGCAACAGCAACAGCAGCAGCAACATGATGCACATCAGCAACATCGAGAGCACAACAGCAACACCAAACAAACGCTTTCTGTTTGCCCCGCGAACTCATGACTCATTTTTGTACATTTGTCAAATTTTGTGCCATACATCATTTTAAACAGTTTGGTGCGGGGGAAGGGGCTAAAGGTTGCCTAGAGTGAGGGATCACTGTATTTTAGCCACAGCCTGGCTTTCATTGAAAACCCTGTCTCTTTCTATTTTTCCCCTACCATCTCTCTTTCTCTGTCTCTCTATCTATTCATGAAAAACCTTGCCCCAGTGTTTGAAACGACTCAACGCATGAAGCCCAAGATAAATCGCCAGCAACACGGAATTAAAAACTGATGTAGCGATTAATTTATCACTTGCAGGCAGTGCACTCGAAAAATTGTAGCTAATTTTAAAGGACTCTTTGCTCTTACTTCTTGAAATTTATAATGGTGAAAAACTTAAGTTACTAACAAAAAATTTTATCATAAGCTAGCTAAAACTATTGCTAATTTTTGTTATTGACAAATCCTTAAATAATTTGATTAGATTAATTCAGATTTTTCTCCTAAATTATAGATTTTATTTTAATATAGTTATTTTAAATAAATATTTGGTACAAATTCTTAAAATGATAAAAAGAGATTTATATTTAAAGAGGTAGCCATTTTTAGTTAATTTACCACATTTTTTCCCAGTGAATTCACAAGAAGAGTTGCAGCTTCTGGCAATATTTAACTAACAAGTTGCAGTGAGCGAGTGGACACACAGAGGAGACGTTTGAATGGATCTATCCGAATGGAATCGAAGTGCACGGAGTTGGGCAGTAAATAAATTACGAGCAGCAAATAAACGCGCTTCATTGCACCATCGATGGACAGTAGTAGTAGTAGTGGCTATAGGACCGTAGAGGTGGAATATCTGGGGGCCAAAAACAAGGGGAGATGTATGGACAAACAGAGACAAGCAAACGGAAACGGAAACGCTTTCAGCTGTCGAATTTGTATGAGCTAAAAGTGCCCATTCTCCATTCTCCATTTCGCCAGAGAATCGAGAGAGCTTTTGTTGTAAGCGCTCAATCATTTGATTGTTGCAACTGCAAAAGGACTCGAGAGCTCGAAGCTCATCGATCAGAATTAATAAAGATTTGGTCCTTTCGGTGATTGACTGACTGACCCACCTCGACCAGCTGCGATTTTTCCAAACCCCCCCTATAAGAACTTACGAATAGAGCATTTGTTTCTAATCGGGCAATCCCACTTGAATGGCACAGAAGCGTAAACGATTTTAGTATTACACAACATTAGCGAAATTAAATTGATTTCGAGGCTGTTATTGGAAGCACCACCCACCATCCTTACACTCTATCTTCATCATAATGATGTAAGCCGCAAGTATGCAGCGTAAATATCCTTATACCTCCCCCGAATTCACTCCATTAGTGCACTTGTAGTACCTCACATATCAAGGATACATTTTTTCGGGGGGTGTGGCTGGGTCTGCTCACTAATCATATTAAGCGAAATTCATACGTCGCCGCATTTATGCGATTTATCCAGGACCTCTAAAAATAACCAAGAACCAGCTGGAGAAAAAAAGATAGAGAGGTAGCTACACAGAAAAGAAATTGTCAAAAGATCAGATTGATATGTGCAGGTTAATATAATAGTTTTTTAAGATCAAGATCAACATAATATTGATATGAATAAGGATATGTTTATCTTATTTTACAATCTTTTTTCAACAAGTAATACATTTGGTATTTGGTTTTTTGAAATAATATAATATCAAGTTGATATGTTTGAATTATAAATTTGATATTAACATTAATCATTGAAATTAACATATTTCAAATCAAATTTTTTTCTGTGTGGAAAAAAAGAAAGAGGGGTAGCTACTACTAGCTATTGTTATGACTCGGTCTGGCAACATTTTCCGTTGTCGTTTAAACTAATTGAGTGTTACAAATTTTATGTGCAAAATCTTTAAGCTAAATTGAAATTTGTTTTCTTTTTCGCCCCGCGCGCTGTCGTACATTTTCCACACATATGATGTGATGTTCACTACTATCCCCGTAAACCCACTGAAACGGGTGTATCCTATCCGTAAGTGAACCCATTTAATGTTATGTGCATATTCTCGTTGCTCTCATACCCGCAAGTGCGTTGAACCATTTTAAAATGCCCGAGTTGAGGTATGTTCACCCGGTTTTTGTCCACGAAATATTGCCTACGGGGTGGAGTGGTTTGCCTTTGGGGTTTTTCCTTTCCTTTCCGTTTTTTTCGGGGGTGGGTAGGTCGCGTTCACTTTCATTTTCATAATTGAGGTTGAAGTTCGCGATGAAATATTAAGTGTAGAATAAGCAAATACTTTTTTCTAGAGGTTTTATGTGTTTCGTTAAAATGAGCAATTTATTTGTTTATTTCGTTCTCAATTTGAATTTTTTTGTGTTTTTTATAGGGTTTTTGGGTGGAAAACGGGGAATATATTTATAGAAACCACTACAACAAAATGTAAATGTGATTTCTAAATTTTATTTAAATTATAAATATAAATATAAATATATATCTAAGATATGCTTTGCTTTCAGAATTGTTTAGGAGTTATTTCAAACAATAATTTTAAGAAATGACAAATACTACCCACTCCATTTGGCTGCAGTTCCCCGAAGCATATCATGTCAGCTAATTAAACTGCCAACGGAGTGTATTCTCAAAACAATTTACATAATTTACGATGCAAGACAATTGGCAGAGGATTGCAGGCCAATAAACAGAATTGCATATGAAATAATGCCGAGGATATTTGTATGAATTGTTTGGGCCAAGATAAGCAGAACAGAAAAAAAGGGATATTTGCGGATTCTCCAAGCTGGCGACTCTGTGGCCAAGAACAGAAGCCCACACAAAGTGTGGGTCTAGAATAAAGGGCCAAACTATCGTCTGAGATTTATCATTGGCCCGGTCGTATATCAAGTGTTTTGGCCAAATAATATAATATATGGCACTTGCCAAGTTCGCAATTACCAGCAGCAACTGTCGCGGCATTTTGAAAAATTAACATGCAAGCCATATATATAGTTCTTGGCTCTATAGATTTATGCCAATTTGATACTCCTAGTGATGCTGATTTATGGCTTTTCGGCTCTTTTCCACGCTCCAAAGAACTTTCGGCGGGGCCCCATAAATAATGCCGGCGATCAAATTGCTACCTTCATGTGTCGATAGTGCGGAAAGTAGAAGAGAACTCGGGGCAGCCGAAGAACAGAGTTCCTTGCCTTTGTTGTACTTCCAATTAAGGCAATTGATTTTAATTAGACCACGGCTTACCATAAACATATTCCAAAGAAATTATTATTAAACACGCGACCCTCTCGAGATCTGCTGGTTTTACTCGTAAAGTTCTTCCTTAACTCACCTCGCCGCCACTCGAGAGGGTGTAACTTAATATTTGCTCTAGCCATTCGGTTCAATTAGCAGGAATTATATGGCCAAGTCGGGTCGCGATGCACCCTGCACAGGCACAGAGACATAGGAATGTACCCACATCTCGGGCCAACTGCTGCTGCTGACGAAGTTGGAGGAGGTAGAGCAACTATATTCCTTAATTGGCCGATATAAAGGGGGACAATCAAACACTGGGGGAAAATACCTATAAAATATTAAAGCTTTTATAAGGAATTTATATTTGCTGTAGAGTTTTTATCATCCCAAATCACACTAAATATTGAGAAGCGCAGAGAAAGGCATGTGAGCCGTTTTCTGTGCTTCTTAAAAATGTTAGCTCTTTAGCTTTTCATATTATTTCATATACTTCCCGTTTTGAAGCTTTTATAAGCAACTTATATTGGTTGTACAAGTTTTATTATGCAAAGAAAGACATTTGGGCCGTTCTCTGCGCTTGTAAAAAATGTTAGATCCTTAGCTTATCATCCTATTTCATTTACTTCCCGTCTTATGGTGCAATGAAATAATTATAAAAAACTTATACTTTTAAAACAGGATATTTCAATTGATTTCTTATAGTTGCCCCGTAGGTACCCATATTTTTTTTCGGTGCCATTAACGGCGACGTGCCTCAATTGAGGTGATCAACGTTAATTGAAAGCCAGCGCGGATGACTCAGCCGCCGGCTCATTAAGTGGCTGGGAAATGGGAACGAAGAACGAAGGCTGACGGAACTCGAGGCGATCAAGATGAAAAATTAACATTTCGCGCATCATTAAAATTCCAATAGAAGAGATGGTCGTTCGGTCGGTGGTGGACTTTTGCCATATGGAAATCGTTGACAAATGTAGCAACGTGCTCAATGTCTCCATTTTCATTTACATTTTCTTTTCTTTTCCATTTCCACATATCGCTCTTTGGTGTACTTGTTGTCCCTGTTTTTCTTGTCAGCTGCCGACCGCCTGGCTCATTTGTCGCCTTTTCCTTGGGCGGAGTGGGAAAAACAAATGCGTCAACACCGAATTTTCATTTGGTTAATGTGTGACTAGAACTAAAAACTAAATATGCCGCCTTTTTCCGAGACACATTCGAGAGGAAGCACCATCAGTGGAATAATAACATGAATTAATCAATTTGTCATGTTGATATTTGTTTGGCAATTTATTTTCCATGTGCGCAGAGTGGAAAGTGGAAGGCCCCATCGAACCGGACTGTGAGGAGTGGTTCCGCTCTCTCTGGGCTGCCTTACTTTATTTTTGGAACCACTCGGTGGTATATTTTCCCTATATTTCCCATATATGCGGCATGTGCATAGCCGGCAATTGTGGCCAGTAATTGATTGCACTACTTACACTCAGACTGAGCGGCTTCCCCGGGAGATTAGTTGCGATTCAATGGATAATTATCATCACAGATCACGGCTGCCACATATGCAGATATACTATGTACATATATTTGTAGATTTGTAGACATCCGACACTGAACTGAAATTGCCATTTTTGTCCCTCGCAAATCATTCAACAGCGCCAAAAACAAATAAGCAAATGAAGTGAGTCAAGGAATCTTAACTCATTTGGGTGCACTGAAGATAATATTTGAACTCTGTATAAATATTAATATTTATGAAAATAAATAATTTAAAAGTTAAATAAGAAATATCAAATTATTCAAATTAACTTGAAGTGTCAAAAGTTTGTATGAGTGTATCCTTAAAACATTATAAATAATTTAAAGATATTTTTAAAGTCTTAAGACAATGAATAAATTCAATCTTAATATTCCAAGATCCACTTAGAAATTCCGTTTCTCTTTCTGTGTGTAAAACTGATGATGATGTCACCTTGCTGGGGATATGCCATACCATATAGCGAACATCTCCATAAACCCATTAACATCTGGTGTGATTAACTCTTGGCTCTAAGCTCCGAAAGGGGTGCTCCTGTCGCACGGAATTTCTCACGGATCCGGAAGGGAAGGGTAAAGGGGGATAACTAATGGGTAGATGGGTGTGTCGCCATCAAGGTTCGGTATATACGAATGCTTTTGGAAATTTATGAGTTTCGCTTGAAGAGTATTTTATTGCATTTATAATTGTGTGAGTGTGTCTGGGAAATGGTGTCCCGCCCCCCTGTAAATGTTGCACATAAACTCTTTAACACTTTGCCTCGCCCGATGCAATTAAAAAAAGTCTACTTATTGAAGGGGAAGTGGCATAGAATGTATCTGTATCTGTAGTATCCCGTATCTTTGTCCCTGTTTCGTGCATTAGGGGGCCTAAAAATGGAATGGGTATGTGAGATACTCATGCTCCACTTCGGTGTTCCAGGGGCCACCGCATCATTTGTTTGCGCAACTTTATTAGACTCTCGAATTGCGTGTTTAGTTTTCCAAGCGATTTATGTGCACCCCACCCCGTCCAACGAGAGCGGGTGACGAAAATGTGGGAAACTCATCGGACGGAGAAAAGCCATGTGTGCCGCAGACGTGGCACTAACAAGTGTCTCTCCTTCTTACCACCCATCTCTGCCCCTGGATTCTTGGATCACTCGAAAGTGTCTAACAATCCGCAGCTCAAACTTGTCTGACCCCCTTACTTTGCTCCGGTCTCCATTCTCTTGAGAAACCTTTGTGTTTCTGACAGCCTCGTTGATTAATAAGCAGATACTTTAAATGTCGGAAAGCCTTTCACTTTAAAATAACGGTTTTCAAAGAGATTCAAATAAATAATAAGAAACTTTTTGTAGAGCTACAAAATTCTATAAGCAAAACTTTTAAGTTCTAATTAATTATAAATTATAATTATAAATAATTATTCAAATCTAAGTGAGAATAAAGGTGTTTTTATTTTATTTAATCAAGACATATTTTAAATTTTATTTAAAATTTACACACGACGCATGCCAGATCCTGCCGGACAACTGAAGGCCTGCAGGAATTCTTCGTTTCTCGATAAGGATGTAAGAGCTATTCGCTTAGCATCGTATTCGGAGTCGGCGCAAAAGATGTGAGTGGCTCCCAGAAAGAATAGCTGATCCGGCGACAAGTCAAGGCCTGGCATCGTTTCGTTAATCCTATCCTGCTTATGATCCTCTAGAAGGTGCTTAATGTGGCTTTTATAGGCAGAGAATGCCAGCCGCAATTTATCTCTTTCTATTCGTGTGTCAAATCTGTCATAATATATCTTACTATTTATGTGGGCCTGTCGCGCAACGAAACTACCCAAGGCCCCGAATTTGAAGGATACTGGCCAAGTGGGGTGGTAAACGGGTGGTTGCAAATATCTGTCGAAGTCGTAAAATTTACCCAACATGTGTTCAGGTGACTTGGACGATATGGGGAGGTCCATGGAGTGACGAGCGCTGTATCTACTGCTGTTAACAAAAAGGCGTTGAATGTTTATATTGGTGGCAGCGAAACTATCGTCCACTATTTCCAGGCGACCAATCTCCGAGATTACCCGATCCGCAAACGAGTTGACCTTGGAAAAGTTGAAGGGAAATTCCCACAGAACTTTTCGAGACTTGTGAAAATTGTTCAGCCGATCGGCTTCGTCCAGCGAACTGCTCAGCGTATTCCACACTTCCTCCACAATTTCGGACACTTCCAACCTTATTTTCTCAGGAATGTGGTTCTGTAAGAATATTATATCTTTCATTCTTAATTAAGTTTAATTTTTTTTTACTCACAGCCAAAAAGAGTTTGCTAAAGAGGAATGGCATTGAGATCTGCAGTTCATCCATGCAATACTGCTTTTGTTCTCCGGAGTTGCGGAGTTTGGCATCCAATGCGCGCAGCAGCTTCATGGCCAGATAATTGGCCACCGCCTCTGGATGACGGGCACACAATTTGTCCAACTCCACGAAGTAGAAATTACAGTCTGCGTCTTCCCTTGGTTGGTCCTTGTTCCAAACGATCTTATCCCCACCCCAAACGATCTCGAAGTACTTGGCCTCGAAGGCTTCGCAGTTTCCTGGTTGGTCCTCGTAATCTATGGATCTCGCTTCTTTCCAGAATGCAAGCACCCCGGCGATCACACCTGCAATTTTATCCTCTGGCAAATGAAAGGACCTTAGGTAACCGCTCATTCGTTCCTCGTCATTCGGTCTAGAGTTGACGTATTTTTCAAAACCCATCCGTGCGGCACGAATCTTGGGCTGAAAGGGAAATTTCCATTCGAAATATTCGTCTATCAGGCCCTCAGCCCCGTAGTTGATCAAGTGGGCGCTCATGTTGAACCAACTAAAGTTGGAGGCATTCCAATTGGCTCCATCCACCGCAGGAAAACCTCCGATCGACCGAATGAGGGTAAGATAGTGCGGATCAGCAGCAGGAAATGGATAGAGATCGGCTGCCAAACAGGCGTTGTAGAACCTTTGGGCCAGCTTTAGTTCCTTGGACACATTGAGGGACTCCGCCAAATCCATCTTGCCCAACAAATGTTCCATCCTGTCCTCCAGGTATATTGTGCTGTAGTCACCTTGCCAAGATCCCAACATTCTCCATAACAGGCGGGCGCTCCAGCGATAATTTCCACAGGAGTACTCGTAGAAGTCGTCACAAGGATCCACACTCAAGTTCATGCCGGATTTCATATCGTTCACATAGGACACTAGGTAATCACTTTCGTAATTGGCGATGACATTCTTAGCGCTCTTTGTCGGAAATATTAGTAAAAGCACGAAAATCAGTAGTCTAACTAAGTTCTTCTGGAATAATTCCATGTTAATATATGATTTGATACAGATTTGGTACGACCTTCTGTTTAAACTTTGGATCGACTGTTTAATTCAGAACTCAAATTTATACTGTCAGCTTTTTGCAAAACAATCACTATTTATATGCCCAAATTTTAACAGGGAGGGCTCCATTTTTAAATTATTTCAAAAGAAACTTGTGGAGAAAAAAAATACTTATGTACCAAAAAATGCGAGCCTGAGCGTTTTGCAGGGCCACAATTTTTTCTCTGCGATAAGTGGCATAGAAAAGTATATAACGTTCCATATTCCGATGTGATAAACGGCCTTGAATAAGCCCAATCCTAATTCAACTTAAGACTTCGATATGAACAAGAGAGAACGCTGTAGTCGAGATACCCGTTACTCAGCTGAAGGGAGTGCGAGGGAGATGTAGATATGCAGTTATCAAAGCTAGTGGCGCCATCTAGCGGCTGTTGAAATTTGTATTGGCTACATCTAGCGGCTGTTTCAATTATTGCTCATAACTTTTAAATAAATGGTGCGATTTAAAAAATGTTGATATATTTTGAGGTATTTTTAAACACAACAAAATTGCATTTATACTTTTTCTAAATAAACCATGGACTTCCAAACTAAAATAACTTGTTAATAGTTTTTTAAATTTAAGAAATATATTTCATTTTACTTAGCACAACTTATACTTATATGTGTAGCTCCCTAAATTGAAAGTTGAAATTTCCTTGACCTCTTGTTATTGTTTCCCCTCAGAAACCTTTCGACTAAAATTATTAAAAAATTATTAAAATGTAAATCAGGATCAAGGTGTTTTACTTTATTTAATGAATACAAATTTTAAGTTTTAATGTCTCCTATACCAAACAGGACGCATGCGAGATTCTGCAGGACAATTGAAGGCCTGAAGGAACTCTTCGTTTCCCGATAAGGAGTCAAGAGCTATTTCCTTAGCTTTGGGTTCGGAGTCGGCGCAAAAGATGTGAGTGGCTCCCAGAAAGAATAGCTGATCCGGCGACAAGTCAAGTCCTGGCATCGTCTCGTTGATCCTATCCTGCTTATGATCGTCTACAAGGTGCTTAATGTGGCTTTTATAGGCAGAGAATGCCAATCGCAATTTATCTGTTTCCATTTGTTTGTCATGTTCATCGTAATAGCCCTCATTATTTATGTAGGCGTGTCGCGCAATAAAACTACCCAAGGCCCCGAATTTGAAGGATACTGGCCAAGTGGGGTGGTAAACGGGTGGTTGCAAATATCTGTCGAAGTCGTAAAATTTACCCAACATGTGTTCAGGTGACTTGGACGATATGGGGAGGTCCATGGAGTGACGAGCGGTGTATCTACTGCTTTTAACAAAAAGGCGTCGCATAATTATATTGATGGCAGCGTAACTATCGTCAACTACTTCCAGGCTACCAATCTCCGAGATTACCCGATCCGCATACCAGTTGACCTGGGTAAAGTTGAAGGGGAATTCCCGGAGAATTTTTCGAGACTTTCCCCAAATCAAATCCGCTCCTTTTTTGTCCAGCGATCTGCGCAGACTATTCCGTACTTCCTCCACAATTTCCGACACTTCCAACTTTATTTTCTTAGGAATGTGATCCTGTAAGGAAATGATTTCTTTAACTCCTAAATTTTATTTAATTTTTTCTTTTTAACTCACCGCCAAAAATAGTTTGCTGAAGAGGAACGGTATTGAGATCTGCAGTTCATTCTTGCAATACTGTTTTTGTTCTTCAGAGTTGCGGAGTTTGGCATCCAATGCGCGCAGCAGCTTCATGGCCAGATAATTGGCCACCGCCTCTGGATGACGGGCACATACCTTGTCCAACTCTACAACGTAGTAAGAACAGTCCTCGTCTTTTCTTTGTTGATCCTTGTTCCAAACGATCTTATCCCCGTCCCAAACGATCTCGAAGTACTTGGCCTCGAAGGCTTCGCAGTTTCCTGGCTGTCGCTCGTGATCTATGGACCACGCTTCTTTCCGGAATGCAAACACACCGGCGACCACTTCCGAAATTTTATCCTCCGGCAACTGAAAGGACCTCAGGTAACCGCTCATTCGTTCCTCGTCGTTCGGAATCGAGTTCCCGTATTCTTCAAAACCAATGCGTTCGTAACAAAGCTTAGGCTGAAAAGGAAATTTCCAATCGAAATAATCGTCTATCAGACCCTCTGCCCCGTAGTTGATTAAGTGGGCGCTCATGTTGAACCAGCTGAAGGTGGAGGCATTCCAGTTGGCTCCATCCACAGCGGGAAAGCCTCCGATCGAACGAATGAGTGTGAGATAGTGTGGATCAGCAGCAGGAAATGGATGGAGATCAGCTTTCAGACAGGCGTTGTAGAACCTTTGGGCCAGCTTCAGTTCGCTAGACACATTGAGGGACTCCGCCAGATCAATACTGCCCAATAAATGTTCCATCTTGTCCTCGAGGTATTTTAAGCTGTAGTCACCTTCCCAAGTGTGCAACATTCTGTATAACAGCTCGGCGCTCCAACGATAATTTCCACAAGAGTACTCGTAAAAGTCGTCACAAGGATCCGCACTCAAGTTCATCCCGGATTTCATACGATTCGCATAGGACACTAGGTAATCACTTTCGTAATTGGTGATGACATCAGCGCCTTTTGTCCGAATTATTAGTATAAGCAAGAAAATCAGTAGACTAACTAAGTTCTTTTGGAATAATTCCATGTTTATGAACCGATTTGGTACGCTCTTCTGTTTAAACTTTGGATCGACTGTTTGATTCAGAACACAAATTTATAATGTCAGCTTTTTGCAAAACGATCATTATTTATATGCCCAAATTAAAACTGTGAGGGCTCCTCACATGAAAGTTTTTAAATAAATTATTTCAACTGAAACTTTTGGAGATTAAAAATCTCCAACAAAATGTGAGCTCGCAGGGCCACAACTTTTGCTCTGCGATAAGTGGCATAGAAAAGTAAATAACGTTCCATATTACGATGTGATAAGCGGCCTTGAATCAGCCAAATCACAATTCAACTTACGACTTTGATTTACGCATGAGAGAACGCTATAGTCGAGAACGTCGACTATCGGATACGCGTTACCTAGCGTATGAGTGCGAGGGAGATGAAGATATGCAGTCATTAAAGCTACTGGAGCCATCTAGCATTTTTGATACATTTTGATAGGTATTTTTAAATACGATAAAATTGCATTTATACTTTTTCTAAATAATATTTCATTTTATTTAACACAACATATACTTATATTTGTAACTCCCTCAATTGAAAATTGAAAGTTCCTTGACCTCTTGTTATTATTTCCCCCAAGAAACCTTTCGACTTCTGGCAGCTTTTCCGTTTGATTAATAAGCAAAGTAAAATTGAAAATTTTTCCCAAAATGCACACAAAAATTAAAACGTACAAATTGCCAGTTATTTGTTTGCCCCGAAGTTTCGGTACCTTTCCATTCCAAGTTTTTCATCCGCAACTTCCTTCTGGGGCGGAAAGAAAAAATTCATTTTCCACGTAATTACTCTGCTGTGATTAGTGAAATTAAACTTTTCTCTGGCATTTCCCTTTTGCTGTGCGTGAGTTTTGCTTTTCTCATCTGCTCTTTGATTTTCGGCCGCGAAAAAAATGGCGTCGCTTTTCTTTTCTTTTTGCCTTCTTTGCAGTTTCATTTAGCGCTACGTTTTTCATGGGAAAAACTAGAAAAAAGCGCGTAACGGCCAATTACAAGGATTGATTGTGTATGAAAATGATGTTTTCCCTAGCCGGGGAAAACTTTTCAATGCAAAGATGCATAAGGTGTCTAATTTTTCATGGGACTGGCGATGGGGTGGGGTTTTTTGCAGACAGAACGCAAAGATTGACGGCCTTTGTCGTCGGGGCCAATGAAATTTTTAAATATAAAACGAACGAACAAATAAAAAATACCAAAAAAAGAATCAGCAGGGGAAACTCGCAGAGTGAGTGCTCAAAAAGAAAACACTTTTTGCGCGGCAGACACTTTAACACTTGAATAAATATTTGTGCGCCAGCCGGGGCCCGAAAAAGGAGATTTTATAATGCCACAAAATCCAAACTAATTACTCAAGCCGCTCCCTCGGACGCTCGCATCATTTCACTTGATATCCTGTCCTGTCACAGGATGCCAGTTAGGACCGTCCTCATTCCCCATCCCCTACCATTCCATCCCATCCCGTTTCGAACCCAGACAGCCTCTGGAAATCGCAGACAAAATAAATGTTTTGAGAATAATTTCGTGTTATTTTTTGCTTCTGAAACTTGGAAAAGTGTCACTGGCGCGTGTGTCAGAAATTAATATTAATTTGCTATGTCAATGCATATCCGTCATTGCGACGACGACAGTTGGGCATTCTCGAGGCCAGAAAGTGGTTTCTTCTACCTCATTATCATCTAGAGAACCAAAAAGGGTGTTCCCACAGCACGTGCGAAAATATTCGGAAGATTATTCAAATTATTTTCACATTTTCTGGGCTTTCCCACTGCCTTTGATTAGAAAACGCATTGATAAATGCGGGCTGATCTCCCCTGTTTTTGGTCGGTTCATACCAAACTGCGGCAGGTGCAGCTTCTGAATCCCAAATAGTTGTCATCGAGCTGAGTAATCAACTGCTCTCCGGAGAAAACTCACGCTGGGAAATGGAAAATGGGTGGGTCAGGTCACATGCCAAATGCCACACGTCTCTTGAAATCCATGCCGTGTTTCTTACTAATGTTCTCTATAGGGAATCATAACAAGGGGTACTTCGGTCAATCGGTATTGTGAGAAAAATATTTTCAAATCTAAAATACTTTTAAAAGAATTTTTAAAAAATAATACAAATATATTGTGTATTTATTTTAGATGTATAAAATATTCTTTTACTTTTCTCTCTCTCTTGTGTATTTATAGATCCCATTATTTTATACGCTCGGAATATTTATTTATCCCTAAAATTCCGTAGATGATTATTTTAAATATGTTATTAATATTTTTTCATTTAGAAAGAATGTTATTCTTACCATTAAAAATATTTATAATTTTATTTTCTTGTTTTGTTGTCGGGTAGGTATTTTTGATTCGACTTCACACCCTGATTTTCATAACTTTTTCCTAGGGGTTGGGGGATGTGACGATTTACGGTTTGCTTTGCTCATCAACACACGCGGCTGGTCCGCCGGAGAAAAAAATAAAACGAGACCCGGAGTGGCAGAGATGCTTAATTTGGACGCCACGTGTCCTTGTCCGCTCCCCCTGTCCGTTTGTGTCCGTGAGTTGGGAAGGTGTCTGCCGAGTGTTCTCGAGAGTGTCTACTGTGTGTTGCTGTCCCTAGGGCACACTGTTTACACGATTTTGTTGTTAGTAGTTTAATTTAATTAATGTTTAAATATGCAGGCTTACGACCCGATGATTTTGAACGGGGATGGGAGCGTGAGAATCCCGCTTTGTGAGAGTTTTTATGGAGGAAAATGGTGCCATTAAATAAAAATAGAAATATTAAATATATTTTAAATTTATATGCTTTATATTTTAATATTACATATTAATTGAATTAATTTTAATTGAATTCCAAAATCAGATACAGGTGTTATTCTTTATAAATCTATTGTATACATCTATATATCTCCTAATACACATTTGAAAAACATTTTATTTCTGTCCAACAACCTGATTTTTCTCCCCTTTTCTCCTGGCGATTTCCCTGCTGCACTTGAGTTAACATTTTCCGCATTTTCTCCGACTTTGACAGCTGGCAACTGTTTCATGTGCAATGGAAACGGCGCTGGCACCTTTCAGACTAGTTTGGTGTCTCTCTGCAAATATTTTGATTAGCTCGAGTGAGTTGTTTCACTCGCCCTGGAAAACATGTTGCATTTGGCCAAGAAAAATAGGAAAATAGCGGCAATGTGGTCAGGGCCCAATCAAGTTACTATTAATTCGAGGAGCTGCACACACATGTTTGCTTAAATTACATTTGACATTTACGAGTTTTGCAATAAAATCTTTAACAATGGCCGACGCCATTTTACTTGGGAAATACTCAACTTCAGACGATTTGTATATATGTAGTGCATGAAAATAGGAAGGGGGAATGGGTAATGGCCATCAAGTGCAGATCGCGTCGTAAAAGACATTTTACAGTTGGCACCGCTCGATTTCGATGGCCGATGTTCAATACTCGATTCTCGCCCCCTCGAGTGGAAAAAGTCGTCGTCGAGTGTGTGTGTGCATTTTTAATTAATTGGGTTTAGTTTTTATGGCTTCATTAATTACCAAACACTGCAAGGGGATATGTACACAACACAATCCTTGACTTGACGTCAGAGCGAATGAATTGACTGCGCCCATCGAATGAATAATGCATCATGGCAGTCGTCGATATTGTGGGCTGTAAATATCAATAATAAAAGTGCGACGCCAGGACCAAAATCGAGTAACGAGTGCATTAAAAATTTATTTGAATCTGCCTGCGACGCGTGGCCATATAGCAAGATATATATGTATATAGTGGGTATATCGGGGTGCGCCGCCATAAAATAATAATCTTTATGATGGCAAAATTTTAATACAATATTGGCGGGCTCCGCTTTGAGATAGCACTTCCTCCTTCGCATCTGTCATCGGTGGATTCATAAATCCACTTTAATTGCTGCAGTGATTCTTGGTTCTCGATGCTCGATTCCGTGGATTTAGCCGTGTCCTCCTTGTGGGCTATAAAAACCAACCAAGTGCCCAGTAAAAATCATGCTCATTAATATTCAACTATATGTGTTTAGTGGCTCCTCCCATTTACGGCCGAAGATAAAGTTCGATGAGCAGCTGTCAGCCGGCACATCGCATACGCAGGAAAAACCCACCGGTTAATGCGGTGGGCGGGGAAATTATTCCACTTCTTGGGGAACAACAAATCTTATAATAACCTCAAAATTATCTAATATTTAATTTTAATGTAATTATGTATTTGTAATGTATTAAAATGCGCAAGAAAATGTATTTCATTTAAATAATTTTATATACCGCTTTTAATGTTTTGTTTTTCCCAACATCAATAATTATTTGATAAAATTTTTTATAAAATTGGTATTATAATTTTCATTCCAAAAATTAATATAAATGTATAAGGCACAAAATACGATGTATTCAGATCAGGGTCATATTTACAAAGTACATACACTGGTTTTTTGATAACCAACTCATAAAGCGAGTTCAGATTTAGCTGCTTGGAAGACGATAATCGCAATGGAAAAAATAGGTTCATGATTATATTTACCCCTCATTTCTAAAATAAAGAGGTTTATTAAGTTCTTTTTAAAATATATAATGTCTTTGGACATCAAGATAAAACACTATTCTTTGTAAAAAATAAATATTTAATACTGCTAATAAATCAATGGGTATCCCGCGGTCGAGAATGTTCAAATGGAACATCTAATCTGGTAACTTACAAATGTTTTGGCTTCATTAAAGACTAGCAGTGTTAAGTTGAGCTCTGAGTCGATCAGTCGGTCTTTTAAATCAGCTGATTAAAATGGAATATTTCAAAACAAATGTGTTTAGGTCGATCAGCAAAAGGTTGTTTGGATTACTTATATACGTGCTACTGCTAATATTCTTCGCAAAGGGCGATGAGATCGCACTTCCGGATTCCAAAAACGAGTACCTATTCTTAATGACATACAATTTTTAAAATAAAAATAACAGCTAGACTTGTATTCAAATATTTTCAAATTAAATCATTGAATTAGACATAATTACAAAAAAAATTTCGCTTCTTTCAGGAGTTCTTTTATGAGGAATCAAAGATGGAAGTGTCTGAAATGGTTGATAAATTGCGAAGGAACATAAGAAAGTTGGCGGAGGAACCCGATATGATGTCACCGGAGGATCGAAACAGAACACTTGGTAGGGAGGAAAGCATGGTGTCACATATAGGGTCCATAGAGGACAACAACTTGCTGAACGACGTATAATTCAGAAAATTAACCACTTGGAAATAAATGGCGATAGTTACGCTGCCTCCAGTATAAATCTTCAACGCTATAATGCCGAGATCAAGCGTTTCATTGCCCAACATTTCGAGGAACTGTACAGGCCAGGATAAAATCTAGAGCCACTGCTAAGACAGGACATCGAAGCCGTTTATGAATGGGATTTTAACACTATTTACGTTTTGACTGGTATTCTACAACCACCCCAATACCATCACTTCTGGCCGCTCTCCCTGAAACTCGGAACATTGGGCTACTTCGTGGCTAAAGAACTAATCTACGGCTTCAAAGAAATCGGCAGCCATTCAAGGGCATGCTTTACGAATGGCTACACGGAGTACTTTTCGAGGAATTCTCGATCCCTTTACCCTGTCGATGTAGTGGTTGAAAATACCATCGCCGAAAGTGGGGCATTGAGTTGGGCTCTGAAGCAACTTTTGGAGGATCATCGGAAGGAGAGGATCAGCGAGCGGATGCCAGAAGTCAACCTACTGCCAGGACAGCTAAACTTCCTGGGCTTCGCCCAAACATATTGCTCCGATTTTGAAGAGGACCACTACAATAACCTTCGTAAGGAGCGGGTCCTGGGCGCCCTAGCCAACAACAAGGACTTCCTCGAGGCCTTCAAGTGTGGGAAGTGCGATGCGTTCTGCGGCTAAAAATTGTACCATTTGGTAAACGTTTTTTACAATTTATAAAAAAGTAATAAAGAAAAACATAGTAAATCCAAAGAATTGATATTCTATATCAATATTTTTCTACTGGCTGGAAAAAAAACGGCCGAATTTTATATTTTTGGCCACTTATCGCAATGCAAAAGTTTTGATACTCCACTTCTTTAAATCATGAAACGCCGGGGCTCACATTTATTGCAGTACTTATTTATTTTTTAATCTCCACAAGTTTCTGCTAAAATTATTATTCTAAAAACTTGGCATTTATTTGGCCGTATAAATGGTTATCGTTTAGCAAGAAGCTGACAGTCTAAATTTGAGCTCTGAATCAAACAGTCGACCTCTAAGTCTGGCATATTATATCGCGTGATGAACATGGAATTATTTAGAAATACTGGGTTAAACGCGATGAGCCAAAGTTTCGTTAGACTACTGATTTTCGTGCTACTACTTATAATTTCGACAAAGTGCGATGGGAATTCCCTCACCAATTACGAAAGTGATTACTTGGTGTCCTATGTGAATCGCATAAAATCCGGCATGAACTTAAGTGTGAATCCTTGTGACGACTTCTACGAGTACTCCTGTGGAAATTATCGTTGGAGCGCCCAGCTGTTCTGGAGAATGATGGGATCTTGGCAAGGTGACTACAGCACAATATACCTGCAGGACAGGATGGAACATTTGTTGGGCAAGATGGATCTGGCGGAGTCGCTCAATGTGTCCAAGGAACTAAAGCTGGCCCAAAGATTCTACAACGCCTGTCTGGAAGCCGATCTCTACCCTTTTCCTGCTGCTGATCCGCACTATCTTTCCCTCATTCGGTCGATCGGAGGTTTTCCTGCGGTGGATGGAGCCAACTGGAATGCCTCCAACTTCAGCTGGTTCAACATGAGCGCCCACTTGATCAACTACGGGGCAGAGGGTCTGTTTCGCGATCGAATCGATTCGAAATTTCCATTTCAGCCTGAAATACGTTTCGCACGGATGGGTTTTAATGAATTCGTGAACTTGAGACCGAACGACGAGGAACAAATGACGGGTTACTTAAGATCCTTTCAATTGACAGAGGATAACATTTCAGAGGTGATCGCCGGGGTGCTTGACTTCTGGAAAGAGGCAAAATCCATAGATTACGAGGACCAACCAGGAAACTGCGAAGCCTTCGAGGCCAACTACTTCAAGATCGTTTGGGACGGGGATAAGATCGTTTGGAACAAGGACCAACCAAGGGAAGACGCAGACTGTTATTCCTACCTCGTAGAGTTGGACAAGGTGGTTTCCCGTCATCCCGAGGCGGTGGCCAATTATCTGGCCATGAAGCTGCTGTATGCACTCGATGCAAACCTTGAGAGCACTGAAGAACAAAAACAGTTTTGCCTTATTCGAATGCAGTTCTCAATGGAGTTCCTTTTTAGCAAACTCTTTTTGGCGGTGAGTCTTTGAAAAATAAAATTAAATTTAAGATTTAATAATATAATTCCCTAACAGGATCACATCCCTGACAAAATAAAAGGGGAAGTATCGGAAATTGTGGAGGAAGTGCGGGACAGCCTGAGCAGATCGCTGAACGAAGCCGATCCGAAAAATCGCTTGTCTCGAAAAATTCTCCGGGAATTTCCCTTCAACTTTACCAAGCTGAACTCATTTGCCGATCGTGTTATCTCGGAGATTGCTAGCCTAGAAATAGTCGACGATAGTTACGCTGCAGCCAATATAAATATGCAACGCCTCTTCGTTAACAGCCGTAGATATAGCGCTCGTCACTCCATGGAACTCCCCATATCCTCCAAGTCACCTGAAGACATGTTGAGTGAATTTTTCGACTTCGACAGATATTTGCAACCACCCGTTTACCACCCCACTTGGCCAATATCCCTCAAATTCGGTGCCTTGGGAAGTTTCGTTGGGCGACAGGCCCACATAAATAATGAGGTATATTATGAGAGTTTTGACCCCGAAAGGGAAGAGGAAAAGTTGCAATGGGCATTCTCTGCCTATAAAAGCCACATTAAGCATCTTCTGGAGGATCATAAGCAGGATAGGATCAATGAGACTATGCCAGGACTTGACTTGTCGCCAGATCAGCTGTTCTTCCTCGGAGCCACTCAGATCTTTTGCGCCCCGCACAAGGAGCGGTCTAAGAATTCCTACAGGCCTTCGGTTGTCCTCCAGAATCTGGCATGCGTGATGTAGATAAGATAATGTATAATTAGCAAGTCCAACAGGTATAACATAAGAATTTATAATCGAAAATAATATATAAATCATTAATGAGTTTTCTAAAACAATTAATATAATCACTATTCATTAAAAAGTTGTTATACATCGTTTTGTAAAATCTTTAACATTTCTTAAAAAGTCTCTGACTTCTTAAAAAAGCTCACAGAAAGAAAAAATAAAGCTGATAAAAGTAATACGAGTATGTTTCATTTTCATTAAAAAAGTGCCTTGCAATCTCCACGCAGTCTGCAGTACATATACATATTAAACCTATTCGCTTATCACAATTGGACTTGGAAATTTTCAAATTTTTATACCCTTGCAGAGGGTATTATGATTTCAGTCAGAAGTTTGCAACGCAGTGAAGGAGACGTTTCCGACCCCATAAAGTATATATATTCTTGATCAGCATCACTAGACCAGTCGATCTAGCCATGTCCGTCTGTCCGTCCGTTTCTACGCAAACTAGTCTCTCAGTTTTCAAGCTATCGTGATAAAACTTTCCCAAAGTCTTCTTTCTATTGCAGGTAGTATATAAGTCGGAACGAGCCGGATCGGACAACTATATCATATAGCTCTCATAGGAACAATCGGAAATAAAAATGTAAAAAAATTATATCTTGGGTGTTGGTCTTGGATTTTGTATGCTCTTTTTATGCCGAAACTCTCGGGTTCACATTTTTGTGCCACAAAAGTATTTTTAATCTCAACAAATTTCTTTTAAAATTATTTATCTAAAAATTTGGCATTTATGGAGCACTTGCAGTTCTAATCTGATCGTTTTGCAAGATGCTGACAGTATAAATTTGTGCTTTGAATCAAACAGTCGATCCCCAAGTTTAAACAGAAGAGCGTATCAAATCGGTAGATTAACATGGAATTATTCCAGAAGAACTTAGTTGGACTAGTGGTTTTCGTGCTTTTACTATTTCCGACAAAGGGCGAAAGGAATTCAATCACAAATTACGAAAGTGATTACCTAGTGTCCTTTGCGAATCTTATGAAATCAGGCATGAACTTGAGTGTGGATCCTTGTCATGACTTCTACGAATACTCCTGTGGAAATCATCCTTGGAGCTCGAAGCTGTTATGGAGAATGTTGGGATCTTGGCAAGGTGACTACAGCACAATATACCTGCAGGACAGGGTGGAACATTTGTTGGGCAAGATGGATCTGGCGGAGTCCCTCAATGTGTCCAAGGAACTGAAGCTGGCCCAAAGATTCTACAACGCCTGTCTGGAAGCCGATCTCTACCCTTTTCCTGCTGCTGATCCGCACTATCTTACCCTCATTCGGTCGATCGGGGGATTCCCCGCTGTGGATGGAGCCAACTGGAATGCCTCCAACTTCAGCTGGTTCAACATGAGCGCCCACTTAATCAACTACGGGGCAGAGGGCCTGATAGACGAATATTTCGAATCGAATTTTCCTTTCCAGCCTAAGATTCGTGCCGCACGAATAGCATTGGAAGTATTCGAGAACTCAAGACCGAATGACGAGGAACGAATGACAGGATACCTAAGAGCATTTCAATTGCCAGAGGATAAAATTGCAGAGGTGATCGCCGGGGTGCTTGCATTCTGGAAAGAAGCGGGATCCATAGATTACGGGCGAAAGCCAGGAAACTGCGAAGCCTTCGAGGCCAACTACTTCGAGATCGTTTGGGACGGGGACAAGATCGTTTGGAACAAGGATCAACCAAGGGAAGACGCAGACTGTAATTTCTACTTCGTGGAGTTGGACAAGGTGTGTGCCCGTCATCCAGAGGCGGTGGCCAATTATCTGGCCATGAAGCTGCTGCGGGCACTCGATGCCAAACTTAACAACTCTGGAGAACAAAAGCAGTATTGCATGGAAAAGGTGCAGTACTCAGTGCCGTTCCTCTTCAGCAAACTTTTTTTGGCGGTAAGTTATTATTAACTTACAAAAACATTAAATTTAGATTTACTTGTATACAACAACAATCAAAATTTAAGCTGCTTTCATATTACTTTGGCACTACTTTTTTGATCCTTTTTATGGCAGCTATATATAATATAACAATTTTGTTAAATTGTTTCAAAATTTTCAAGTGTTAAAGAAATGCTATATCTCAGACAAAAAGAGAAAGTAATAAAAATCAAGAAAAGATATAATTTTGTTCCTATTAATTTCCAATTTAATTTTCCAACCGTTTCTATGACAGCTAAATGATACAAATTTATATAATTTTTTTAAAATATCGTATGTCGGAATCGTCTCCTTCACTGCGTTGCAAACTAAAATACCCTCTGCAAGGGTATGAAAAGTTATATACAATTTAAGAATTCAAGATATAATATCCTTACAGGATCACATTCCTGAGGAAATAAAGTTGGAAGTGTCGGAAATTGCGAAGGAAGTACAGAATAGCCTGCGCAGGTCGTTGGACAAACGCAAAGACAAACACGGTTGGTTTAACTATTCTGGAAGGTCTCGAAGAATTCTCTGGGAATTTCCCTTCAACTTTACCCAGGTCAACTCGTTTGCGGATCGTGTAATCTCGGAGATTGGTAGCCTGCAAACAATCGACGATAGTTACGCTGCCATCAATATAAATATGCGACGCCTTTATGTTAAAAGCAGTCGATACAGCGCTCGTCACACCATGGACCTTCCCATATCCTCCAAGTCAGCTGATCGTAGATATTTGCAACCACCTGTTTACCACCCCACTTGGCCAGTATCCTTTAAATTCGGGGCCTTGGGTAGTTTCATTGGGCGACAGGCCTACATAAATAACCAGAGATATGATAGAATTCATGACTCAGAAATGGAAAAGGCTGAACTGCGGCTGGCATTCTCTGCCTATAAAAGCCACATTAAACACCTTATAAGGGATCATAAGCAGGATAAAATCAACGAGACGATGCCAGGACTTGACTTGATGCCGGATCAGCTCTTCTTTCTGGGAGCCACCCACATTTTCTGCGGCTCTGACTACAATGGTAGGCAAATAGCTCTGTTTTCCTTGTTGAAAAACGAAGATTTCCGCCTGGCCTTCAATTGTACTGCAGCCCCTGGAATTCGTCGTCAGTGATATGAGAGACGGGAGTAGAGCGAGATTAAACAAAGTGAGCTTAAATCTTTACAAGCGAAGTAAAGAGTGTATTTATTGTCGGCTGTGGCTGATCTAGGATTTTGTTGTGGGGGGATTTTTTGAGCAAATTTTGTTTACCGTACTTTTAGAATACCCAAATTGCTTTCACTTTTTACCAGCATTTTTCACTGAAAGATTTATCAAAAATACCCATTTCTTTAGAATTCGAAATTTATATGCTAATTCAGGTAGAATTTACTTTTACAAAACATCGATCGAGGTGCCTTGCCTTGGCTGCGCTGCCCCCAAAAATTACCTCCCTCCGAATAAAAAGTATTAAATTTTATTTGTGTTGTCATTGGGTACCATTTAAGCAAATATAGTTAAAATCGGACCATTCATTAAAAACATATAAGCAAATAATGAAAAATCCGCTAGATGGCGTAGGCAGTTCAGGAACTCAAAGCGAGTGCTTGCATATTTCTATCTCTATAACGGGTATTTGATAGTCGAGGCACTGGACTACAGCTTTTTTTCTTGTATATATCCAAGTCACAAGTCGAATTGTGTTTGGGCTGTTTCGAGGCCGCTTATCACAATGGGACGGACATGGTAGTTCACAAAATTGTTTTTCTTACTTTTGTAAACCCTACAGTAATCTTGAATAAAAAAATAAATAATTATTTTGGGCCTCCACTTCATACATACGTACATACAATAAGTATTTCTAATCTCCAAAAGTTTCTATTAAAAATACTTAGGTATTTAAAAACTATCCATGTATGGGGCTTTTACATTTTTACTCCAAATTCCATATAATAAGAGGTTCGTTTTGCAAGAAGCTGCCAGTATAAATTTGTGTTCCGAATAAAACAGTCGACCCCTAAGTTTCCATAAATAAAGCACTTAACCGCTAGATTAACATGGAATTATTCCAGAAGAACTTAGTAAGACTACTGATTTTCGTGATAATACTAATATTTCCGTCGAGTGGCGATAAGAATGCCACTACCAATCACAAACGTAATAACCTAGAGTCCTATGCAAACCTCATGAAGTCCTACATGAACCTCGATGTAGATCCTTGTCGCGATTTCTACGAATACGCCTGCGGAAATTATAGAGACCATAATGAGCTGTTGGAAAGTATGTTGGATTTTTGGACCTTGAACTACAACAGTGAACAACTGGAGGGCCAAATAGAACATTTATTGGGTAGGATGGATCTGGCGGAGTCTCTCAATGTGTCCAGCGAACTCAGGGTGGCCCAAAGGTTCTACAACGCCTGTCTGAAAGCCGATCTTCATCCATTTCCTGCTACTGATCCGCACTATCTTACCCTCATTCGGTCGATCGGAGGATTCCCCGCTGTGGATGGAGCCAACTGGAATGCCTCCAACTTCAGCTGGTTCAACATGAGCTCTCACTTGATTAACTACGGGGCTGAGGGTCTGTTTCGCGATGAAATCAGTTCTAGTTTTCCATTTCAGCCTAATTTAGGTTACGAAAGGTTGGGTTTTGAAGAGTTCGATAACTCGAGACCGAATCACGAGGAACGAATGGCCGGATACCTAAGAGCCTTTCAGTTGCCGGAGGATAAAATTTCGGAAGTGATCGCTGGGGTGTTTGCCTTCTGGGAAGATGCGAGATCCAGCCACGCGCAGCCTTCAGGAAACTGCAAACTCTTCGAAGCCAACTACTTCGAGATCGTTTGGGACGGGGATAAGATCGTTTGGAACAAGGATCAACCAAGAAAAGACGAGGACTGTTCTTCCTACGTCGTAAAGTTGGACAAGGTGTGTGCCCGTCATCCCGAGGCGGTGGCCAATTATCTGGCCATGAAGCTGCTGCGCGCATTAGATGCCACACTTCACAGCACTGAAGAACAAAAACAGCATTGCCTGGGCCAAGTGAAGTTCTCAATGAGGTTCCTCTTCAGCAAACTCTTATTGGCGGTGAGTCTTGCGGCGCAAAGATACCATTTTAGGATTAATTATTAAATATAAAATCCCCTTACAGGAGAAGTTTCCTGAGAAGAAAAAGTCGGGCGTGTCGGAAATTGTGGAGGAAGTGTGGAATACGCTGAGCAGTTCGCTGGACGAAGCCGATCGGTTGAACAACTTTCACAAGTCTCGAAGAGTTCTGTGGGAATTTCCCTTCAGCTTTCCCAAGGTCAACTCGTATGCGGATCGGGTAATCTCGGAGATTGGTCGCCTGGAAATAGTGGACGGCAGTTACGCTGCCACCAATATCAATTTGCATCGCCTTGCCGTTAACAGCAGTAGATACAGCGCTCGTCATTCCATGGACCTCCCCATGTCCTCCAAGTCGGCCGACCATATGTTGAATGAATTCTCTAGGTTTGAACGATTTTTGCGACCACCTTTTTATCACCACTCTTGGCCTTTAGCCCTGAGATTCGGTGCCTTCGGTAGTGTAGTTGCGCGACAAGCCTACGTAAATCTCAAGAGCTATGAAGAGAGGTTGGACATACGATTGGAAGAGAATAAATTGCGGCTGGCATTCTCTGCCTATAAAAACCACATTAAGCATCTTCAGGAGGATCATAAGCAGGATAAGATCAATGAGACTATGCCAGGAATTGACTTGTCCCCAGATCAGCTCTTCTTCCTCGGAGCCACTCAGATCTTTTGCGACCGTTCCAAGAAGAGTAAGGACCGAGCTGACTACTCAATTAAGTATAACCAAGAATTCCCCCAGGTCTTCAATTGTTCTGCAGGATATGGCGGATAAGAGACGTGAGACGTCCATTAGCAAGTGTTTAATTTCTTGTAGGGCTGTTAAAACATCAATAGTAGACACTTTCGATATTATCGATGCTATCAAAATCTAAAGCAAGTAACAATAATTCCAAAAATAAAGGAAAATGTTTAAAAATAATTGGATATTTATATTTATTATTAAACTTAATTAAATCTGGCTTGAGTCTAGCTTTTAATGTTTTACCCAAAAATTTTGTTACTAAAAATAGACTTAAAACAATTTTAACAAAAAGGAAAGCTAGCTTATATACCCTTCAGATAATTCCTATTAATTTACAAATTGCAAAAATGTTTAGGTAAAAATAGTTTTTCCAAAAGAGGGCTTATGTTCAAAAACACCCAAGATATAATTTTTTTTTAAAATTTTTATTCCCGATTATTCCTATGGGAGCTATATGATATAGTTGTCCGATCCGGCTCGTTCCGACTTATATACTACCTGCAAAAGAAAGAAGGCTTTTGCTTTTATAGGGTCGGAAACGTCTCCTTCAATGCTTTGCAAACTTCTGATTGAAATCATAATACTCTCTGCAAGGGTATAAATATACGATTCCTTTACAGGAGCACTTTACTGAGGAAATAAAGTTGGTATTTATTTTGGGATATTTGCGCGTCGTTACACGTCCTTTAGACAAAATAAAAGATTTGTGGATTGTGGAGGTTGTATATTATATTATTATTGTATTTTATAGGCATGTCAAAAAAATGTTAAAATCCGACCGGTCATACATAAAATATCAGCAAATAATGAAAAATCCGAAAAATCTGCTTGCATATCTCTATCTTTATCTCTGAGTAGTGGGTGTTTTAGAGTCGGGGCACTCGACTATAGCGTTTTCTCTTGCTTATATCCAAGTCACAAGTCGAATTGTGATTAGGCTTTTTCGAGGCCGCTTATCACAATGGAACATGGAAGTTCTTAGTTTTGTAAAACCCACTGTAATCTTAAACAAATAAATAAATAATTACTTTATGTCGCAAAGCTTTCGCGCTCCACTTCATACATACTTATTTCGAATATACAATAAGCATTTCTAATCTCTACAAGTTTCTATTAAAAATACTTATTCAAAAACCTTTCAATCTGGGCATATAAATGGTGATCGTTTTGCAAGAAGCGGACAGTATAAATTTGTGTTCTGAATTAAACAGTCAATCCCTAAGTTTAAACAGAAGGTCGTACCAAATCGGATCATTAACATGGATTTATTCTGGCTGAGTCTCTCAATGTGTCCAGCGAACTTAGGGTGGCCCAAAGGTTCTACAACGCCTGTCTGGAAGCCGATCTTCATCCATTCCTGCTGCTGATCCGCACTATCTTACCCTCATTCGGTCGATTGGAGGCTTTCCCGCAGTCGATGGATTGAAGTGGAATGCCTCCAACTTCAGCTGGTTCAACATGAGCTCTCACTTGATCAACTACGGGGCTGAGGGTGTGTTTCGCGATGAAATCAGTTCGAGTTTTCCATTTCAGCCTAATTTAGGTTACGAAAGGTTGGGTTTTGAAGAGTTTGAGAACTCGAGACCGAATGGATTACGAGAACCGTTCAGGAAACTGCAAAGCCTTCGAGGTCAACTACTTCAAGATCGTTTGGAACAAGGACCAACCAAAGGAAGATAAAGACTGTAATCCCTACTTTGTAAAGTTGGACAAGGTGTGTGCCCGTCATCCCGAGGCGGTGGCCAATTATCTGGCCTTGAAACTGCTGCGTGCATTCGATGCCAAACTTCGCAACTCTGAAGAACAGAATCAGTATTGCCTTGATAAAGTGAAGATCTCAATGGAGTTCCTCTTCAGCAAACTCTTATTGGCGGTGAGACTTGCGGGATCTTTAGGATTAATTATTAAATATACAATTTCATTACAGGAGAACTTTCCTGAGAAGAAAAAGTAGGGAGTGTCGGAAATTGTAGAGGATTTGTGGAATACGTTGAGCAGGATAATGGACGAAGTCGATCGGTTAGAAGGTATGCACAGGTCTCGAAAAATTCTGTGGGAATTTCCCTTCAACTTTACCAAGGTCAACTCGTTTGCGGATCGGGTAATCTCGGAGATTGGTCGCCTGGAAATAGTGAATGATAGTTACGCTGCCACCAATATAAACCTACAACGCCTTTTTGTTAACAGCAGTAGATAAAGCGCTCGTCACTCCATGGACCTCCCTATATCCTCCAAGTCACCTGATCATATGTTGAGTAAAATTTCCAAGTTCGACCGATTTTTGCGACCACCTGTTTATCACCGCTCTTGGCTGACCTCCCTGAAATTCGGTGCCTTGGGGAGGGTAGTTGCGCGACAAGCCTTGGTAAATATTAAGAAATATAATGAGAGATTTGAAGTAGGATTGGAAGAAGAAGCATTGCGACTGGCATTCTCTGCCTATAAATGCCACGTTAATTATCATTTCGGGGATCATAAGCAGGGTAAGATCAATGAGACGATGCCAGGAATTGACTTGTTGCCCGATCAGCTCTTCTTTCTCGGAGCCACTCAGATCTATTGCGACCGTTCCAGCAAGGGTAAGAGCCGAGCCCTGAGCTCCGTTAAGTTTAACCCACAATTCCCCCAGGTCTTCAATTGTTCTTCATTTTTCAATATATGAGAGGCTGCGAGTTAGTCTTCTACCAGCAGGTGTTTAATTTTTGGGATTAAATAAACTAACTATATTGTTTATTGTATTAATACTCTTACTCTTTCTTAAATGGGACAAATTTCTTTGAAATGGAAAAATAAGAAAACTAGAGAGAACGCGAAAGACGAGTATTTCGACTGTCAGATACCCGTTACTCAGCTAAAGGAAGTGCGAGGGAGCTGGAGATACGCAGTCGTCAGCGCCTTCCAGTGGCTGTTTCACTTTTTGCTCATAACTTTTTAATGGATTGTCCGATTTTTAAATTTCATTCACACAACAAAATGGCATTTACACTTTTACAAAATTTGTGGCCGCCCGCTCTAAGGCGATCGTGGGCGTTAGAGCGGGCGTGGCGCCCAACTGAAACAAACTTGCGCTGCGTTGAAAGTCCAAAAATATGTGCGCCTAATCCCAACCTTCTAGCTTTAGTACTTTCCGAGATCTCAGCGTAAATACCTTGACCTTAAAAAATTCCTACTATTTTTTTAAAATATGCACTTTACGTTGGAATCATCTCCAGCCAATCTACAGTGAATATACCTATCCTTGGCCCCATCTGGTATCCATTCGCTCATCACTTCTGTGGCTGGCTGAATTCTTCAAAGAAACCCATAGAAAGCTGTGATTTATGGTATGCAAATTCAGTTATAATTTACATTTCCACAACATCGTTCGGGGAGCCATTTGGTTGGCTGACCTGCCCAAATGTCCGGCGAATTGTTCCGCCAAAAATCGTATTGCGACTGGCCATTGATGAAAATGGATGCATTCGAGGGAAAGGGGTTGTTCGGCTGTTTAGTTTTGACCATGCCTAATTTACATTTATTTGCCAATTTATTTAACGATCGATCGTAAAGCGTTTGCCGCCTTGGACACTCGGATTTTGGCTCTCCAATGTTTTTGCACTTTTCTGTTTTTCAGTTTTCAATTTTTCAGCCTCTGGTCTCTGATTTTATGTCGAAATGGGGAGAGAGACGAGCCAGCAGCGTTGTTTACGTTTTTAAGTGAATTTTCATATTTTAATGTTTGGCAACATTGTTGTCGCCTCAAAAGGCCGACCTCCGTTCGCGCGGTCATAATTTCCGGCGTGGAATTCGTGGAAGTCGCCCGACCATATAAACTCGGTCTCCCATTCGCCATTCGCCGTGGAGGGGCTAAAAAAGATCGTAAAGATCGGACATTTTTATAGGTGTCGTGTCGCGGGCACAAAGGTGTTTTCTCTGCCCGATTCAGCCGTTTGGTTTATGTTGCTTCGCGATGTCAAAGCGAAAGCGGAAAAAAGCATCGAGTACTGGGTTATAAAACCGGCGACTCTCCTTTGAAGCCCGTGTACAAACAAATAATCGAGGCGCATTCCGATCGCGGATACAAATTTGCACTGTGCATTAAATTGCAGGTTTTTTTGGTCAAGATGCGTAATTACATGTGATGATTTCATATTTTTAGATCAGGAAATTATTTAAAACCTTTAAAAAGTATTAAAAATTAACCTTTTAAGTTTGCTTCCATTTTTGCTGCAACAAAAAAAAACTTGATAAGAAACGATGATCGATTTTACGTTATGTGGTATCAATTTTGCTATCTCTATCTATATCTCGCTTTCACTCACGTAATTTAAGTTGTCACATTGGTTCTTCTTCTCTTTTTCGTAGTCAGAGAATCTCCAAGAGAGGGAAATCTATTTTGCACGGTAAAAACGATTTGCCTGAAATTTACCATGCGCATTTTAATAATGAATAAGTCATTTATTTATTTATTTTTTTTAAGCAATATCTGGATATTTTTCCCGGTGCTTTCCCATAGATCAACCCCATTAGGATCATGATCTGCACAATGGCGCCAATCGGACGCGATGAGCTTGAAATTTTATATGCCGCCGGCACTCGTCTGCATTTGTCTGGCATTTGTGCAAACATCTCGACTAATTGGCCAAACGGTTCAGTTCAGTTTAGTTCAGTTCTCTTCATTTCGGATCGTATGGGCTAGGATCGAATCGAATGGGATCGGATAAGTTAGGTGGGTGGGGCTTTTCGTAGGGAGCAGTGCTTTATAGAGTTGCCCTGGACGTGCGTGCGTGCGTTGGGGCCATTAAAAAATTATTGAAATTGAACTGAATTTTCGAAAATAAACTGGAAACGCATTTTGACTTTCGGTGGAAAAGTGTGGCACACGGCGCGCTTCATTTGTGGCTCTTGTGTCGGATGAAACGGTGAAAAGCGGGAAAAAGCGGGGAAATCGGGGGAAACCCACATCGCCTTCGATTAGGGCTGCATTTCCACGTTTTCATAGCGTTTGGCTTTTTCGCCAGCCGAGAAAAAATATAATTTATTGCCTGCCCGTCTAGCAAGTCAATGCGATATACT